ATGAACAGTGGGGTGATGTGACACGGGGCCACCAAGGCACAGCTCTGAAGGGCTGGTGAGGAGGAGGCAGTCCCTGGGTGGGCCACTCATGAACATGCATGTCCACGTGTTCCCACTGCCACCCAGTGGTGGGAGAGCACCCAGCCACCACCCGGAGAACTGCATTTTATAGGGTGAGATAACAGAATGGATAAATATCCATTTATGAGTGCAGCAAGGGCTGTGTCCGGGTACCAGTGGGTTGAGCTTCAGGAGCAGTGGCTATTGGAGAAGCAGGTTTTACAGAGCTGGAGGTGGTGGTGGAGCTGCCAGCTCTGCTCAGAAGGTCACTTGGAGCCCCTCACCCCCAAGTTTAGCCTCCCACCACCCTGGGGACCTTAAATGGCCTGGGCAACATCCCCAAGGATCCACACCCTACCTGTGACCTGAGGAGCCCATATAAGGTCAGCCTGGGGCTATTGAGCAGGATGCTGCTCTCCAGCCACTCCCACTGACCACAGCCTTATTCCCACCTTATTTCCTCATCCCCACCACCTTCCCGGTGCTCTGGGCTCCCTGTTGACATCACAGCTTCCTCTTTCTCCCTTGCTGGGGTGGGATGAGGTCTCCTGACCCATGCTGGGTATCCAGCCCAGCTCCCCATCCCCTGCTAGAGCAGGAGTTTTCCTTCAGGTGCCCGGCCAACACCACTCCATCCTTGGCTTATCAGCCCTGGAGAAGGTTGGAACCCACTGCTCCATCCATGGGAAGCCACGGAGAGACCGGCAGCCTCCTGCGGCGCAGGGGCCTCCAGCAAGCTGTGAAATTACAGGCTGGTAAGTGCCAGCACAAACGAGGATTAATTAGTGTGCCATGGCCACGAGCACCCGCTTCAGGCCCTTGTCTGGCCAGGCTCAGCTTATCCATCTCCATCCCGCCTGGCTGGCAGAGCCTGGAGAGGAGCGCGAGCAGGGGAACTGCTCTGCCTGGAATTTCAGTGCCAAATGGCACCGGGGTGAATTCAAAACCCATAAACATCCTCGACCACGGCTTGGAGGGTGCCCCTGACCCCTCCCTGTACTCCTCCAAGGCTGCCCTGGGCTGGGGGAGAGGCAGGATGAGGGGATGCAGGAATGCTGGGGTGACACTCCGGGGAGGAGTGCTGGGCACGTTTTGGGGTGCTGTGAGCAGTGTGGGTACACTCTGCTCCTGCCTCCTCCACAGCCAGTCTTTCCTTGAGAGGAGATAACAGCTGCCAGTGAGTTATCTGGCTCTGGGGCTGGAGACAAGCAGAAGGAGGGAGGATGTGACTCCCAGTTCCGAGTAAAATCCAACTGGGAAGATGCAGCTGAGCTGCCCTGGTCCATGGGGAGGGCAGCTTTGTGGGGGGATGCTCCTTTTCTGCCCACGGAGCTGATCAACCTGGCCTGAAGGGTGGAGATGAGGAGGTAAGAGCCTTCATAGTCCAATCCCAAGGCACAAGATGGATTTAGGTCCCAAAAGCTGGAAAAGCGAGGATGAAGGAGCGCTCCTGTTAAAGCAGCATCCTAAGATGTGGTAATTCAGCTGTGGAACAGCCAGGAACAAACAAGACAAGATGCTGTACAGCAGCAGAGGCAGGAGTATCACCTCTCCCTTTGGAAATAAAACATTCCTCTTCCAGCTGCAACCAGAGCTCAGCTCCAAGCTGTGCAGGGAAGGGGCAGCTAAAATCCAGGGATGCTTTTAGCTGCTGCTGAGCTCCAAGGGCTGGCTGTAGCCTGGTCAGTGTGAAATAAAGCCCATCTCTGCAGTGGGAGAGGTTGTCTCAGTCCCCTGAGAGCAGATCGTCGTGGAATTGAGGAGAGAAGATGCATCTGTGTATGGGGACAGCTTGGGACTTGGCTTCCCAGGGCTGAGGGTGGCAACCCATGGGTGCAGTTGGGCTCCTGGGTGCATCCCATCCCCTCCCAAAGCCTGACCCTGAGCCAGAGCTCTTCCTTAGGCTGGAAAACATCCCGTTATCCACTTTGATAGCTGCCTTTCATGTCAGCGAGCTCAGAAGTGAAGTCTCCAGGCACTCGAGGTCTATTTTGAGCCCTCGCCCGAGTGAGATTTGTGAGATGGCTTCTTCTGTGGGAGAAACTTTCCAGCTGGATCTCAGGAGCCGGAGGGATTGGGTGAGCTCGGAGGAGTTCCTTCAAAACACAAACCCCAGTGGAGCCCCTCGTAATTCAGGTCAACTTGAACAGGAGCTGTGGGGAGGGTCAAAGCTGGCTGCCAAGCTGGAATTCTGCTTAAAGCCCATCAAAGCCTGGCTCTGGCCAGAACAGACACCGAGCATCCTTCCCGGCCAAAAACCAGCAGGACGCATGGCAGAGGTATCTGCCGGCCTGGATCACTGGCCAGACTGTGTCCTCATTTGCTGATGGTTCTTTATTGCTTCCTGGAGGAGCCCTTTGCCCCTTCCTTTGAGCTCTGGTGGCTCTCTGGTTGCTGTTCTGGGTGTTCCCAAACAGGTTTTGGGGTTGGGGGTGGAGGGCAGGGACATTGCTGGGTTGCTGTGGGGAAAAGGTTCATTGATGCATTAATATATACTGTTAAGGGAAAGAGTGGGTGTTTTCCCAGTCCAATTCCACTCCATCCCCATCACCTGCAGCCACAGACCAAGCCCGACGAGCTGGATCTTGTCCCTGCAAGAACCAAGTCTGTTAATTCAACATCATTAATAATTAAGTTGGCGGTGCAGTGAATAACATCATTAATAACTTCGTTACTGATCTAACAAAGCCATTTTTACTACTTTGCCTGTTTTCTCCTTATCTGTGTTAATAATCATTCCCACCGTGTTGAGTTTTTCCCTAAAGAACCCCAAAGCAGCAGTTTTTCCTGCTAAATAACGACAGCCAAACCCCTCTGGGTGTGCAGAGAAGCAGCAAAGACATCGCCTGTGGTCGTCTCTATGCCAGTGAGGGTTTTATTACCCGCACTCCAAGAAAAGGGGAGCAGATGGAATTCCCCCCTCTCCCTTTACCCCAGTTTTATGGAAGTTTTCCGTCCATGCACCCGAAGGTTAATACAGCACTTACAACTGGTGTCACTTGGATTTATCAGAGAGCAAGAAATAAAGCTGGCACAGCTATAAATTCATTCCTAATAACAACATGGAGGATGGAGCTGTTCCCCTTGTCCACATGGCCCCAGCTGCATCCATTGGTTTCACATCCTTGGCTGCAAGGTGAGTGGTCCCCAGGCCGTGCCTCGGTTCCCCCTTTTGCAGCTCCTTCCAGAGCTGCAGGTGATGCAGGTGCTCCCAAATCCAGAGCAGCTGAAAAGCATCTCCTTGTGCAGCTCCAGCTGCTCCAAATTTTTTCCTTTTGCTCTTCCTGACATCCTTTGGGAGGAGTTATTGAACAACAAAGCTACATGTGCTAATTGTAGTTTTACAGAGGGTCAGGCCGTAAAAAGCTCTTAAAAATAAATGAATAACCAGCTGTTGACATGCAGAGGGATGGAGGGAGTTGTCCCATCCCATATGTCCCTGGGATGGTATTGCCACTCTTTGGATGGGGGATGGAGACATCCCATCCTTTGTTATGAAAAAACAGAGGCTGATGCCCCCCATGGTATCCCAGCCCATGGATTAGGGAGAAATGTGGAGGAAGATGATGCTGATGCATCATCTTCCACCCTAAAGTCCCATCTACAGGGCTCTTCTTCCCTTTCCCAGTTTTGCCCAGGGTTGGGATGCCCACATGGGGAACTGGACGGATGCTCCCATGTGGTGGGAACATATACTGATCCCCCAGGCGATGCCATGTCCTTAAAAACTAAAACATAAATGCAATTCAACATAATTTGGGTGAAAGCCTCTTCTCCTGCTACAATCTGGGTCGAATTCAGAGTGTTGTGGTCACCACTGCTTCCCCTGTGATGGGTGTTCTGCACATCCCTCACCCTGGCAGCGGTGCTGGGTGCCAGCGAGGGTCCTGGCTCTGGGATGTCACTTGGGAAAGGCTTGAAACGGAGCATCTCTGACCTGAATTAAAAATAAGGAATCGAGGTGGTGGTTTTTCGCTGCCAGGCCTGGAAAAACCGTGTCGTGCCAGGGATGCTCGAGGGCTGGCAGTGCAAATGCATCCCTACAGGAGGAAGAGCTGACAGGGAGGGCACGGGGGCTTTGTCCCCAGGACCAGGTGCTTTGGGTGCTGAAGGCTTTGGCAGAACCTGGAAGCTGAAAGAAAGAAGCCAGGGGTAGATCTGGAGCACCAGATTCCTTCATCTCTCAGGGAAAATCCAGCTATTTCCCCCCCACAAATCAGGGCTTTTGAAACGGAAAACCAGAATTAGGTACATAAAGAAAAGCTGGAGACACTTTTCACATAATTTTAAGACGGTTGCAAGATTTGGAGGTCGCTAATATTTCTCCTGGACCTGGTGTAAAGGTTTGGAAATCAGCAGGGGAGCAGTTCCCTACCCCAGCTCCTCGTCACTGGTGTGTTCTTGCCCTCTGCAATCCCCTCACCACCCCCCTTGGAGGTGGGAGTGACATCTTGGTGATACCCCCCAGTCCACTCAGACATTGGATGTGACAAATCAGGTCACACCGGCTCTTCTTAAGCCAAACAGGGATAAAATGTCCCAGGGAGGGCAAATGTCCCATCCCTGGTCCAGCCACCCCCCTCCAGCACCCCCATGTCCCCATCCATGCCCATCCACAACCTCGGATACACTGGTTCTCCCCTTCGTAGAACCTTCCCTCTCTTGGCACATATATACATATATTATATATATGTTATGGTTGTTATTTCTCCATGATGGACGGTTTATTGATCTGAAACTTCTGTTTATAAAAAAAAAAAAAAAAAAACCAAAAAAAAAACCAATTTAAAATTCCCTGAGCCTGGAAAATGATGGGTAGGTAGTTGGGACATTGGGACATTCATCTTCTTTGCCACCTTTTCATGTCGATTTTATTATTAGTATTGATTTATTTAAATATATATTTATATATATATATATATATATTTTTCTGTCCCTTCCCAGGAGTCTCCCCCCCCATCCACCCACCCTCCCCAAATCCGTGCGGCGGATCCGGTGTGTCAGTTTTTGTTTTTAATCCTCTGCTTGGCCGGGATATAAGGCAGCACCGTCTGGGTGCTTTTGTCGGCCACGGTCTGGGTGCTGCTGTTCCTCATCAGCCGCCGGCCCGGGGCCGCGCCGCCGCCGGCGTTCGGGTGCTTCGAGGGCCCCACCGGCACCTTCCTGCCGGGCTCCTCGGGCCCCTCGTCCCCTGGGGACGCCGTGCTGTCACCGTCCCGGTCATCGTCGCAGCACAGCGCGTGGTACAGCACCTTGTCGCTGAAGCGGACCCGCTCCCGCGTCCCGGCCGGGCGGTGCTGCGACAGCTTCAGGCTGGATGTCGTGCCGAAGGCTTCCTCGCTGGACGAATCCGGGGTGCCCCCGCCCCGGGGCCCGTTGGGGATGGGCAGCCCCCCGTTCATCAGCCGGTAGTCGGGCTGGCGAGCGGGCGGGGGCTGCGGCTGCGGCCGGGGGGGCTCGGGACCATCGCCCGGGTCGGAGGGGGTGGAAGCATCCAGGAAGGAGCAGAATTCCCAGCTGTCGGAGAGGATGTCGGAGGCGGCGAAATCGAGGGGTCCCAGCTCGAAGGTGCCTCCGCCCTTGTCGCTGCTGGAGGTGCTGCTGGCCGTCGCCGTCGTCCAGTCGTCCGGCTCCAGGTCGAACTCGAAGTCGGACGTCAGGCGGTCGATCTGGCTCACCACCTGCAGACAGACGGACGGACGCACGGACAGAGAGGAGCCGCTGGGCGGGACCCTCCTGTTTCTGCTCCGTAATTACACCACACCCCTAAACCTCTGCTGTTTGCCCTGGCACCACTGGTGTGATGAGCTGGGAGGTCTCAGCTCGACTGGAGGCTCCTGGCAGGGACCGAAGCCCACCTAGTGGCAAAGCACCCAAACCCGCAAGCCTTGGGTGCCCCTGAGTGCTCGGTGTGACAGGATGGGCCTTCCCCAGGATCTGCCCTGTCCCCTGGGATGACTCCCACCCCAAATCCCCAGGCGCATGGTGTCCTTCAGTCCCTCTCACTTGCCCCAGTGACCACCACCTCCTGCCCCTGGAGAAGGCAGCTCTGTGGGTGGGGAAGCCAAGGCAGGCGGTGGATTATGGCCCAAGGTCCTGGATTGATCCCAATCCTTCATTTCTTTCGCAGTGTTGAGTATATCAAGCCCTGTGGTGGCTTGGGGATGGGGTCACGGCCCCACCATGCCACTGGGGACAGATCCCGTGTGAGGCGTGACTAAAACAAGCCTTAAAATATTAAAAATAATAGATGCAATGTCCTAAGGGAGGTTCAAGCCATGGGCAGGGCTGGAAGGGGAAGGAAGGGAGGAATGACCTCCTTTCCCCTACGGCTCCCATGGATCATGGTCTCCATCTAACTACCTTGCCGAGGTTTCGGATGCAGCAGACTCATCACCCTCCTTCAAGTCTTTAATCCTGCCCAGCTCAGGGGCTTTCCAGCACTGACCACAGCACTTATCCTGCCCAGGAGACCCCAATCCCACCCGGCATCTGGACGGAACTGTGTCTATCCACGGTATTTCTTGGCTGGTGTCTCTGCGTGTGTGTGTGGGCGTGTGGGGCTCTGTTTCGTGGGGGAGGCAGAGCACGACGTAGAAATCCAACTCCGTGGCACTGGGAAGCCTGTATTTTTGGCAGTTTTGCTGGCTTGCCTCCCCCCTCTCCGGGGGAGCTGGCAGAGGGCCTGGCTGGTCCCTGTGCTGCCAAGCAGGAGGTGGGCAGCGGCAGACAAGGGGGGCCAGGGGGAACCCCTCCATACTCCTGGTACCTGTTTGTGACCCACGTGATGCAATCTGTGCTCCTCCCATCCCCAGCTCAGGCATCCGTGGGCATCGGTGCCCCCTGCACCCCAGGGCTGTGTCCCTCCTGGACGCCCATCCCACTCACAGAGCATCTGGAAGCACAAATTTGCTTGGCTTCTTCCAGGTGGTTTCTTCACGCAGTAATGTTGTTTTTCATTATTGCTGTTCCCTCCCCATCTTTTTCCTTCCACTGCCCTTCCACCTGTCCTTTCCTGGTGGAAACCAGCCACAAATCTCCCAAAATAAGGGAAGGAAGGTAAATCAATGGGCAGTGTCTTGCCAGAGACCTTTCCTTTCCTTCTCCTCACACCACCAAAAAGCCCTGACTTATCTCCACCAGTCCCACGGTTCATCACTGGGTGTTGGAGCCTCCCATCCACCAAGATTAATTAATCATGGCACATCTCTCCATCATTTTTATGCTGCCGTATCCCGTAACTCCATGTCCTTTGAGCATTTTTGCTGTGAGGAACTGAGTCCTTGGGCTCAGACACCCCATCCCATCCGAGGGCGGGCACCCCAAACCTGCTGTCACAGGGCTGGGTTGCCCTCGGTCTCTGCATCCATCTGCTGGATGCTGACGTGCAGAGGTTTGGGACAGCTCCATAAATCCCAGGAAATGCACCATAAAGCATGGCTCAGCAGGGCAGGCTCCTCACAGAGCCCCTGTGGTGGGTGAGGATGCGTGGGCAGAGTTAAGGGTAATTTAATATGTCTGGGCAACTGAAACGGGGAGCCCAGGGGGACGATTACTCTGCCAGCAGCCGGAGTGGCTCCGTTACATTCTGCTGACCTAATTTTAATCAAATTCCCATATTTGAGCTCCAAATTTCGCTCGTTCCACAGCCCTGCCCATGCAGCTCTCCTGCTCTGCCCAGCTTCCAAGGATTTGGCACCAAGGACAGGGAATTCGAGCCCCCCCAGGTGCGTCCGGGCATGGACACGCAGCACCCCCTCTTGTGAATCAGCCACCGGCCCCCGTGGGACAGCTCCGGGCTCTGGCCACAGGTAGGACCATTTCTGGGGACACCTGAGGCTGTGTGACAACTCGGAGAGGAGCATCTCTGGAGGACAAAGTGGTGCCACCTCCACGGGGACACAAGCCCAAGGGGCACAGAGTGGGTTTGAGTGAGGGTGGTGGCGCTGGATGTGTGTGTGTGTGTGTTTACTGCCTGCTGTGAACATGGGGCTGGGAAACTGGGGAGACCTGGGAATGGGGAGACCCTTTCTGGGGTGGGACGAGCTGGTGTGAGCAGGAGAAGGGAGGCTGACTGGCTTGGGTTGCTACCTGGGAGTGGGTTGGCCACGCTGGCGATAAAAGATGCCAAAAAACATCTTTCCATGGAAAAGGGGTGGTTAGGAAATGGGAGGAGGGGGTGGGAGAGAGTAGTGCGCCCACTATCAGACCTGAGCACACAGTCTAATATGCTCCAGATGGGCACTGATACACCTTAACAACCCTGATCAGCCCCTCCTGGGACCCTTATAAGCCCAGTTTTGGGATAAAACCTCTTTTCTGAGCTGTGCTGGAGTAGAACCTGTCCTCAGCCCCACATGGTGGCCCCACAGCTGGGTTCTCTCCTGGATGGACCTCCTGAAACCCATCCCAGGTCCTGCTTGCGGGATGGACCTTGAACCTACATCATGTCCCTGCATCCCAGAGGGACTTCGTGTCCCCAAAGGATGGCTGAGCTGGGGATATTGAGCTGAGTGCTCATCCCAAGGAGCAGAAGGCAACAGGCTTTACCTAAGCTCCTCACCTGTGATCTCCAACTTATTTTTCTAGCCATGGAAGACCTCTAGAGAGGGCAGGCAGGGACCCACCCATCCTTCAAGCTTTGGCTTTGAAGGGTGCTGAGGTGCTGGGAACATCCACAACGAAGTCTTGACATTAGAAAAGGTGATTTTTCCTGTTCCCGATGCACCATCAGATATCTTTTTTTCTTTTTTTTTTTTTTACTCTTATCTTCGAGGGAGAAGGGGTGAAACTCGAGGAAGGGCGTTAAAAAGAAGATGATGCGACCTCTTCTTTCTTGGTGACAAGAAAGAATTAGGAAAAAGGGCAGGAATAGAGCTGTCTTTGGGAAACACCCGGCTATTATTATTTTTTAATAAGGCAGCAAAATGATTTCTGCTGAAACCCTCAGCTGGAATGAGATCACCTCTGTTTCCACAAAGGCTCGGTGATTACAGCACTGGGTTCAGGGGGAGCGTCTCCCTGGGCTTTGACTCGGGTCCCTGACACCCAGGGCCCTCCTCATCCTCATTAAAGGGACCCGTTGCCATTTGGGATCGGGCGGTGACAGGAGGAGGCACATCCCCATCCCAATCCTCGTGCCCATCCCGCTCCTGGTGGTGGCACACAGGGATTAGTGTCACATCAGCAGTGGCTCACTCGGGGCTATTTTTAGGAGCACTTGCTATTTTAAAGGGGGGGCGGTGGGGTGGGGTGGGGGGGTGTTAAATACCTATGTGACACTTGGTACTCGCTGAGGATTTAAATGTAAAGTAGGATTTGGGCTTTTCTCCCCCCTTTTCTCCTTCCTGAAGCAGGTTGTCAAAGCTTTTCCAGCTGAGGCCATTGCTGCTGGCAGAGAGGGAGCCAGGATGAGAGAGGTGTGGGGGGGAGGGATGACCAGACCTGGGGTGGTTTGGGACAAGGCCCTGGTGATGTTCTCATCCCCCAGAGAACTGGGGTGGATTTGTTCCCCTACAAGCAGGTTGAGAGGTGTGGGGTGTCCTCAGCATGTGGTGGAAGTGCCATGCTGGTGACAGACAGGATGTGTCCCCATCCTCCATCACCTTTAGGTTGCTGCAAAGAGCCACCTTTTTGGTGACAGCAGAGCATCCCTGGTCCAACTGGGGTATCTGGCAGTAGGAAAACAGGGACCAAAATAATCCCCCTTGACCTCGTGCGTGGTGTCACCGAGGGGCCTCATCCTGCTGCACCCCAGTGTCTTGAAAGCAGCTGCTGGGTGGCCAAGGGTGCTCAGCTCTCGCCTAAAGGGACAAGATTTGAGCAGCTGGAGGATGGAGTGAGGCAGAGGGATGAGCCACATCCCTGTGGAACCCCAGAGAGACGGACACGGGGCAAGGATGAGCTAAACCACTTTCATCCCCACCCCAAAAACCAGCTCCTGCCATCCCACCCAGCTGGGAGTGCTGGGTGCTCCCCTCCCCTCCCACTGGTCCCCACGCCCATGGACGTTGCAGGCAGCCAGAAGCTTTCCGGATAAAAGCCCTAAATTGGGTGTTCACCTCCCCAGCTAAGGCAGATGTTGAACATCTGGAGCATTGTCGTTGTTTTTAATGGGATTTTGGGCTGTTGGCTGCACATCAAGCACTGAGCTCCCTGGCTGGGAGCTGGGTCTGGTGGCTCCAGCTCCCACGTTTTGGCCCCGCTGTTTCCTATCGAGGAACTAAACCTCCTGGACACTGGGGAAGACACTGGAGAGGCGGGAGGATGAGAGGGGACTTCAAAGGCTTCCTGGTCAGTAGTTGGTAACGCAAATTCCTGGGGCTGGGGAAGGAGCTGGAAGATGCTGGGATCAAAGTGGTCTGAGAGCCCCTTTATCCCCACACGGTCTTTGAAGAGGAGGGGGAGGCGGATCCGTGCTCAGGGCAGGTTCTAGTGGGTGAAGGCAGGGCCGGGGTGGGGAGATCAAACACGGCACTGCTTGGGCTGTCTTTGCTCCAGTGATGGGGGGCCCTGTGTGTGTCCCCTCAGCCGCCCTCCGGCGAGATGCAACAGTTTTCCCAGTCCAGAGCCAAACATCCCATCCCCAGCCATGGTGGGAGCAGGGATTTTTGTGTGTCCGCCCATGCTCCCCATTCCCAGCACTTCCGGCAGCACATTTTGGGGTCCAAAGCATTTCCACAGAACCATGGAATGTTTGGGTTGGAAGGAACCTTAAAGCCCATCTCATTCCCTGCCACGGGCAGGGACACCTTACACTAGACCAGGTTGCTCCAAGCTCCATCCAACCTGGTCTGGAACACTTCCAGGGATGGATTTTCCAATGGCACACAGCTGCTTTTCCAGGCTGGATCCGGCCCGTGTGTCCCAGCACTGTGCTTTGCTGCCAGCTGGTGCACAGAGGGGATGAGCAACAGGACTGTGAAGCCCATGCTAAAATTCCCCAACCCTATTCCCAAAGCATCAAATCATCCCAGAGGCACTTGACACCAGCAATTCCTCCCTCCACAGGGGAAAAGAGCCACCCCAAAGCCCCACCACCCCCACAGCCAAATGCTCCTGGAGCAGGGACCTTCCCACTTCCCGGTGCAGGCAAGGTGAGTAAATATTTAATAAGGAATGAATGATTAATTGGAGCTGGCAAACTGAAGCAGAGTTGCAGGGGCCTCTCTTCCCCGAGCTGATCCTTACAAATGAGTGTGCCGAGGATCCAGGGTTCATTTGCTCCATCATCAGCTGCTAAATAGTTCAAAATCATCCTGCACATCTCCCAAACATGTTGTTATTAGAATAATAAGCCTCCTTCTCGCCATGAACTTCCCCAAGCATTCCCAGCTAATCACCTATTGATTACAACATTATTAAGGTATTTATTATCATAAGGGATTGCAGGGAGGGTTTTTCTCGTGCCAAAGTGTTGGAGGGAACCCCTCCGTGCTGTTCTGGGTGGTGGCACCCCGCTGCTTCCATCAGCAGCTGCAGAGGGGACAGGACTCTCCCCATGGGAATTTTTTGGGGTTTAAACAGATATCTGGGTTTATTTCCCACCGTGGATGGTTTCCCACCCCCAGCACTAATCCCCCAGGGGTGGGAAGGAGCTCAGCCTTGCCATGGAGCTTCCTGGGACCTCCTGGGGTATCTTATTCCCTGTGGCATCGCCGTGATCCCCGTGGGAAGAGGCTGGGGCTGGCAGGAGGTGCGTGGGAGGGAGGCAGCATGGCAAGCGCACGGCGGAAGCGCCTTCCCTGCTGCCTCCTGCCTGATTTCTACTTCCAGTGTGCGTTTTCAATCAAAGATTTTAATAATCATTTTCCCCGCACATAATACAGCCCTGTCTTGGAGTGCTGGGGAATAATTATATACACAAAAGGGAAGGAGGGAGGGAGGGAGAGCAGGAGCGGGGAGAGTGGTGAAACAGCATCCCGAATAAAACGGACATCTGGAATGACAGCCTTCAGGTGGGAACCGCTCCCGGGAGGCGGGGATGGAGCCTGAACCAGTGTCTGGTCACACATCACATCCTCAGGGATGGGCCAGCAGAGTGGGGCTGCCCTGGGATCTCCCACTGGAGCCTCCCCCTGGAGCATCTCACAATCCTGGCTGGCTCTGGGACTCAGCGTCTCTGCTGAAGCAGGGACAACCTGAGAGAAAAGGCTCATGTGAGCCAGAGCCAGCTGTGCCTGGAGCTGGTGAGCGGTTTTGGAGCAGGAACCATCCCTGGGTGGAAGCCCTTGTGCCCATAGGGTGTTGATGGCTTTGGGGGTTATTTTTGGCAAGGTGGTTATGACCTGGCTGCTGCCTCCAGGTAGGTAAAGTCCTGGCACCCAGCTCCCTGTGCAAGGAGAACCTGGAAGGAGCAGGTCCAGCCTCACCCAGTGCCCTCCGGTATCACCCAGTGCAGGTTTTCCAGCACCGTGGGTGTGTCGGGTGCCTTCACTGGGCACATCCAGCCCTGCATCCTGACCCACCAGTGATGCCCCTACCAGAGGAGATGGCCACAGGGATGGATATTTCCAAAGGCCCCATGGTGGCTCCGTTGGAGAACACACCAATATCACAAGTGCCAGGACAGTGGTGGCCTTTGATGGCCCTGAGCAGCCCCAGCTGGGACCCCACCCCTGAGCCCACCTGAGCTCGGGGCCATCAGCCCTGCCTGTCCCCAGCCTTGTCCCCCTGTCCTGTCCTCACTTCCAGCCAAGGAAGAGCATCACTATGTGCAAGGAAGACAAGAAAAAGGGCTTATTTTTTTACTTCTTTTTCACCAAGATCTTAGAGATTACGATTTGCCAGCCCAGTGTCTGCCACGTACTTTTCTGTGTGGCCTTGAAAGAGAATTCCGTGTAACCTGCTCCCATTGAGCTTGCTCTGAGTGATCCAGAGGGCTGGAAGATGAATTTCCATTCCTGGAAGTGTCCAAGGCCAGGTTGGATGGGACTTGGAGCAACCTGGTCTAGTGGAAGGTGTTCCTGCCCATGACAGGGAAGTGGAACAAGACGGGCTTTAAACCCGCCCAACTCAAACCATTCTATGAATTTCCAAAGCCTCTAACACCGAAGTTCTGCTTGGTTTGGGGAAAACCAGACCTCTGTTTCTCTGGAGTCCCTGACTCCTGGTTCAACCTGGTTGGACTGGTGTGTTTTAGCTCTGAAGCCTGCACTGAGTGTACTGACATTTAGGCTGTTTTGTATGAATTCAGCTAATTGCTGCAGAGTTTTATGTATCTGTTCTAGGAGCTGGGAGAAGGGCTGAAGTTTAGGACCCACCTCATGTCTGGCTCCACGCTGACCTGGCCTTGCTGTCCCTTGATGTGGGGGGCTCTGCCAGGGCACCCATGGGACGCTGCCTGGGAGGTTACCAGTGTCTAGGCATGTGCCAGCTCCATGGAAAAAACATTTCCATGCTTTAACACTTCCTGGCACCCTCTGGAGAAGCCACCTCATGGGGCGTGGACCCCCTCCCTGGCACAGAGCAGGGTGTCCCTGGGGTGGGGGCAGAGGATGGGTGTCCTCTGGCCACCTCCTCCTCTTCTCTCCTCTGACACATGCTGGTACAACCTGACTTGGGCAGCCCACCAAGACCCCTCTGGCCCCAAGAGCTGGACAGGGACCTTGTGGAGCCACCCAGAGTTTGGTGGCAAGAACAACCTGGTCTCAGCTGTGAAATGGTTGGGGGTTGGCCCCGTCTTGGTCCTTCTTATCCCTCCATATCCTCAGCAAGAGGGATGCTCACCTGATCATGGTGGTCCCACCTGGCCTTAAATTCATGGGGACGATGGAACGGGCCAATTGCCATCATCATCCTCCCTTTGAAGGCCTGTTAAGCTCCTGGAGGAGCACGAAGTGAGCTCAGGCTAAATAGAAAATAGCTCTGCCTCCCGATTATTACTATTATGGCTTTTCCTAATCCATCAGAGATGTGTTGGGGGGTTTTGGGCTCTGCCGATGGCATTGCGGGATTTGGTGGGGGAGCAGGGGGCTTTTTGCTTTGGGTGGCTGAGTTTGCTTTCTGCTGCTGGAAGGACTGACAAAGCCAGGAGAGAAAGGAAAATCTCTTGGGGTGCCAAGGCCCGAGACCTCCCAGGGACCCAGTGGGGCAGTGTGGCAGGACGTGGCATCTCTCCAGTGCCGGCTTTCTCACAGCTTCCTCTAAAATCTCCTGGATGGAGTGGAGCCATCCCAAAGGAGGACACTGCATCCCAGGCAGGAGGGTGTCCCCTCCCTGACCACTGGCACCAGGATGATGTTGGTGCACCTGCATCAGCGTTCTCTCGGTGGCACCCAGATGTCACCGACCCACATGGGGCTGCTCCATGGTGCCCATGGCAAGTTCCTGCCCTTCCTGAGGGCTGGTGAGGTTCTGGATACAGTCCCAGGCCATGGAGAGGATGCCAGTGCCCGCCTGCCCTCTTGCCAAAGCAATCAGCTGCTCCATGCTCAAGGCTACTGCACACTTCCCATCCACCACTCCCCATCCCCTGCAGAGGTGTCCTAAATTACCAACCCCATCACGACCCCCTTCCCCTCCAGCCTGGAGATGCGTGGCCCAAACCCTCGAGCCAGGGAAATATTAAATTCCCCACCAAAGCATCTCTGTGGGGAGAAAACTCCAACCACACTTTGTGTGCACACAGATATTTCTGCAGGAGCACTGGGCCCTCTCCATCCAGGCTACAGGACACCCAGTCACTCTGACCCCCTGTCCATGCTGTGGGTGCTCCTCATTGCATCCAGGACTGCTGCCATATTTTCAGTGCCCTCTACAATGCCAGAGGGACCCACCATCCTCTCTCTCTGTCCATCTCCTTGGTTTGGAAGGGGCCTGGAAAACACCTTCCAAGGCAGAGCAGAGTGGACTGTGACACCAGTTCTCCCGGTGCTGGCGGTGCTTCTCCCACCAGCAGCACCCTCAGGGCTGGTGCCTTGGCCGGGCCCCCTCACCCCGAGCAAACCCTGGGGTCAAGGTCAGGAACGATTTTACAAACCATGCCCAGTTTTCTCCCTTTTTGGAAAATCCTATTGCACATCATCCAGGTGCCTCCTGGGGCCGGTGGGTTGCGGGTGCTGAGCTGGCTCTGCTCCCCCCATCCTGACGCTGGGGCAGGGGGACAGGGGCAGGGCACCCCCATTTGGGATCACCAGCTACCACGACCCGCTCTCCTACCTCCCGGAGCTCCTTGGCCACCTCCTTGAGCTCCTGTAAGATGCCTTCCAGTTGCCCGATCACCATTTTCATCCGGCTCCGGATCCTTTCCCGTTCACAATTACTCTTGCTGCTGCTACAATTGCTGCTGCTGCTGCTGGGGTGGTCACTGGGCTGCCTGTCCTGGCAGGTCCGGGAGTCCATCCTTCCCTACCAGCCTCGGTGCCCGGCCCCAACGGCTCTGTCCATCCTGCTCCCCCCTAGCCGGGTGGCCTGGCGTCCGCGCAGCCCCTCTCGGCCGGGGAGCTTTCAACATCTTAACGTTCCCCTGCCTCCAAGGAAGTCCCAGCCGCACGCTCGCCTCCCTGCGAGGTCGGGGGGCTCTGGTTCGGAGCGGGGAGCGGGGTCGGGATGCAGCATGCAGAGTCAGGGATGCTGCGGAGGGGACTCAGCCGGTGACGGCGGGGAGGTGTGAGGTGGCCATGGGGTGAGCAGAGGACGAGGAGGAGGAGGAGAAGGAGGAAGAGTCCCTTGGATGTCCCAGGAAACTAAAATCCAGCGGCTCACGCCTTGCCTGCTCCCCGAAGCCGGGGAGGGGAATGCAGAGCTGAGTGTCCCCGGGGAGCGACGCTTCTCCCCACGTCGGGCCCTCGCTCCGGGGTCTGCAGCTCCAACGCTGGGGGGTGGTGGTGGGGGGGTCTCCCAGCTGGGCACAGGTGTCCTGGGGAGACCAGGGTCCCCTCCTGCAAGGACAGACAGACAACGTGAGGGAGCCATCCCTTCTGGAGCCAGGAAGGTGGTGGGGGGCTTTGCCCACTCCCACCTTGCCTTGATCTCAGCCCCGGCACGAGGACAAGCCCCCAGTACCCCCACAGCAGCCCCCCCTAACTGAGTGGGGACAGGACGGAGCCTGACGCTGTCCCCCTCCTTTTGCCCTCCCCACTTCCCCACAGTTTGAGACCTGGAGAATGGGGGCACAGTGGGGTCTCGCAGAGTCAGATGGATGGATAGAGGGGCAGACAGACAGGCAGCCGTGCGGCTCAGGAACTCACCGTCGCGATCCAGAACCTCCTTGGCTCCAGTCCAAGCTCTTCCTTGTCCTTTTTTTTCCCCTTCTCCTTTCCTTATTTCCTCCCCCTCCTCCTCCTCCTCTTTCTCTTCCCTCAGGGCTTTTCCGTGGCACAAGAGGAGTCCGGGGGCCACTTTCCTTCGGTTGCTGTTGGAAGGGGTGAGACGTTACCGGAGGTGACAGCCCGCCGGGGCGGGGGGACGGGGACACGCGTCCCGGGAGACTCATCTGCTTGCGGGGGGGTGTCGGGCAGCCTCCTCCCACCTGGGGCCCATCCCACCATCATCCTCCTCCCGGCTTGGTTCAAACCCCAACCCCGCCTCGGCCGAGGAGGGGGGAAAACCCACCTTGGCCCCAAATGTCCCCTCTTCCCCCAGGGAGGGGGAAAGCAGCACGGGCGGAGGCGGAGTGGGGTGGGGGGGCGCGTCCCCTCAGCTCGGGGGTGCACACAGGGAGGGGGAGTCCCGGCATGCTCCCATCTCCATCCCCGGTACCCGCATCCTCCATCCCCGCTGCTCCCATCCTTTATCCCTGGTACCCGCATCCTTCAGCCCTGGTACCCGCATCCTCCGGGGCACCGGGGATGGAGGATGTCGGTATCCGCAGCTTCCATTCCCGCTACCTGCATCCTCCATCCCTGCCGCTCTCATCCTCCATCCCTGGAGCCCGCATCCTCCTTCCCCTCTCCCCGCATCCTCCATCCCCGGAGCCCGCGTCCTCCATCCCCGCTCCCCGCAACCCAACTGCCCGCATCCCCCTCCCCTCTCTCCCTCCCTCCCTCCCTCCCTCTCCCCCTCTGCCCTCCCTCCCGGATGCCCCCGCACCCCCGCGCGGTGCCCCCGGGACCGACCGGCGGCGGTGCGGGCTCAGGGCCGGCCGGTCCCCGGGCGCCGGGCGGGCGGAGCGGGGCGGGCGGCGCCCGGCGCCCCGGGCAGAGCCATGGGGCGGGCGGAGCGGCGGTGGGCGCCCGGCCCCCGGCCCCGGCCGCAGCCTCCCCGCGGCTCCCGGTTCGCTCGCCCCGGCGGCTGCTGTGTCAGAGAAAGGGGCTGAGCCTCCGCCGGGCGGGGGGGGCTTAAAGGGACCGGGAGCCCCGTTGCACGGGGGGCGGCGCCGGGGGAAACTGAGGCAGCGCTGGGGGTCCCTTGCTGGGGAGGAAGGGAGTCGTGCCTCAGTTTCCCCGCTCTGTCCCCCCCGCTTCAAATAACAGGCTCGTTAAGGCTGGTTCCTTCTGAATGCAAAATGCCCCTCCCCTGCCCCGTGGGTCTTATTTGGGGCCAATTTCTGCAGGATCTGTAAAAACCCACCCGGGATGCGAGAGCATCATCCCAGCAAAGGTCCCTGGATGGGAGGAAAACAACAACTGTGGGTTTGTACGTGAGTGTGTGCGTGTGGGGAGGGGGGGCTGGTCTGGTCTGCGGAGGAACCCCAAGGAGGGGAGGGATTTGCTCCAAAGCAGGGATCCAGTCTGGGGAAATCCATCCAGTTCAGCAGCAGTGGGAGCAAGGAGAGATTCCTGTCCTGGAGCTGAGCGGTGACGATAGGTGGCAAACCCAGGTCTGCCAGCGGCGAGGCGGCGGGTGCGCATTTATGTTATTTATTGCCTCCTACTGGGAATGTTCAAAAGTGCTGAACACACTTTTTGGCGTGGACCCGAACTGACTCATCCTTCAGCTTGTGAAGAGCTGATGCTTAGGGGGCTCTTCTGATTCCCGCAGAACATCCCGGTGGGAATCCTGGGATGGCAGGAGCGCCAAGGTGTGTGGTGGATGGTGGTGAGCAATCCCTCACTGCACAGATTTATTGGAAACATTTTTTCCAGGGTAATCATATGGGAAGTTTTCAGCAGGAATCTCCTCCAATACTTTGCACCTGAGGCTCAGCCAGGGACAAAGCGGATGCCCGGGTCCCCCACGGACACCACACTCCCCCTGGTTCCTCTAACAGCAGGTCAATGCCAGCTCGAGCTCTGCCTCATCCCAGAAATCAGCGGGGATACTGGGACAGCGATCTGGGGAAAGAATGGAGGTGGTAAAACTCAGACAGAGGTGCTGCTTCTGGGAAGCCCAGTGGTGATGCAGGACCAGGCGGGAAAATACATTGAATTATGTGGGGCAGAGGAGGAGCTGAATACGCTTCCATGGGGGATAAAATGAGCAGCAGAGGTGTGGACTGAGGAGGAAACACAGCTCCATCCATGACCTGCTCTTCCCCTCTCCCAGCTGTGGTGGGCACCAGCAGCCCAGGTTGTTTCGGTCCCAGCCAGGTTGGTAAAAGATGCTCAGAAATATCCATGGTCAGCACTGGAGAGTGTGAGTAGTGCCCAAAAACCTCCTGTCCATGGTGGTGGAGCTAAAGCAGCCAAAATGGCCCTGCAGGGATGTCCAGAGCCTCCAGTGTGAGGTCAGAGCCCCAAGCTGTGTCTCCTACAACCTGAAACCCTCTGGGTGGTGTCTTGAGGATGTGAAACAAAGGGATGCGGTGAGGGATGTCCCCCCTGCCAAGGGGATGGAAAGGCTCAGCCTCTACGAGACACCCAAGAAGCCAAGCCCACAGCACACCTCACCCTTCACTCCTGCTTTCCTTTGCTCCAAAGCCCTGGATGGACATTCCCATGCTCCCCATCCTGCCTTGATCCTGCTGTGAATGCCACCGTGTTTCCAGCTGCTGGAAGATTCATCACTGGTGGAGGAAGAATAAGAAGAAGGTGGAGTTTTCCTTTTAAAATTTATTTTCTGCTTCTATTTGCTGCTTTGCAAAGCATGGGTTCCCCCTCTGAAGAACCTGGAGAATGACATAGGATGCTTTTTCCCACCTGTGCATCACAGCCTGGATTTGGGAGTCATGGCCCACCCTGCTCTCAACTCTTATCTCCCTTTTGATTGATCCATGTTCTCCATCTCCCTGCCAGACCCAATCCTGTCCCTTCCAAACCTTTCCTCAGGGTCTCCCAGAGGATTTGGGGGGGATCCCCAAATGCTGCCCAGCCTTGGTACCCCACTGGTGGAGGTTTCCACATGGGAAGGACACGGCTGGAGCGCGACGGAGAGAGAGGAGTGGCTTTATTCCCACCGCCCTAATCTCTCTCCCTCCCTCATTCTCCAATCTTTATTTATGCTTTTTGTCAGATCTGATTTACTGGGGATTTTCCTGTTCCAACAGGAAAACTGCTGGGAGGGGATTTCTCTGCAAGGCTTTCGGGCTCACAGGCATTTTATTTTGCAGGGTCGTGCCAGGCTGGTTCCTGCAGGGTGGCTCTTGGCTCAGCAAGGCTTAACGTGGGACCCCCATGGTGGGGGGGTCCCCTCTTGCCCCCCAGACCCCCGTGGTGGCCCTGGGCTGGAGCTGGTCCCCATTGTCATGCTGCTGGCAGGTGCCCTTCGCTGCCGAGCCGCTGATGTATCGCTTCCCTGCCGTGACTCACTGGCACAGATCTAATTTCTAATTAAATAGCGATTCTTTTCAGAGCCATTTATTTCTGTTTCTTTTGTATTTTGATTGGAGTGTCAGTCAGTTTTTCACCAGTTTGTCAATTCCTCTTTCCCTAAAGATTAGCGAGGAGAGATGTGAGAATACAGAAATATGTGTTAGCAACGCCGAGCCTGGGAGCTCCTCAGGTCCCGGGAAAAACCTGAGGAGAATAATGGGAAGAAACCAAGGGGGAGATAGAAAATAATCCCAGAAAAAGCCTGTTGAGAGCAATGTTTCAAAATCTATTTTTTTCCCCCACCTCTATCACCCTTCCCTGGCCGACCCAAAAGTCCTATCCTGCTGCCTTCCCATGGCAGCAGACGGTGCCTTCTGGGAGAAATCCCGTGGGATGCTCATGATGAAACAGCCTTCTCCTGGATGGACTTTATCCTCAGGTTAAAGGAAACATGGGATGTGAGAATTAACCTCTGAGATGTTCCCAAACCTTCATGCTCAGCACACGGTCTGGGGAGGAAGGAGCCTCCCATCCCTGCTGGGGTCTCAGCTCCCCCCAGAGCTGGGGGGAAATCGAAATCCTCCCATCCAGTGAGGATTAGGGATTTTTTTGGTGAGATGGTTCGTGATGGGCTTTTTGGGGGGAGGTTTAATCAACTCTTCACCAGAAGACCCTGGCAGCTCCAGCTCTGCCTGGTATGTGGGCATCGCCCTCAACACCACATTCCAGCTCAAAGCCACACCACAGAGGGCCCAAATCCCAAACTCCCTGTGTCGGCTCATCCCAGCGAGCGCAGCACCCTCGGATCTCAAATCCCAGCCTGGCCGTGGTGAGGGTGGGGAATAAAAACTGCCTCTGGTGCTGAGCGGTGACGGCTTTGCTGAGCCGACGTGCTCAGGCCACGTGTTGCAGCCGGGTGATTTCAGGTCGACTTGTTGCTTTTAAGCGGGTAGGAAGGAAAAAAAGCCTATTAAAGTGGAGTGACAGCACGGGCGTGACCTGTAAAACCATCGGCTTCAGGGGGAACGGGACCCGGGGAAATCCACAACTGCTTTCCAAAGAGGCTTGGAAAATTACAGACTGCTCCTGCCTTGAGAAAATGGTTATATTTTAATTAGTTTGTGTGTCTGGGTGGAAAATGTCGTGTCCCATCACGTGGGGCTCTTGGCCTGTGATAGGCTGGCTTGTATAAAACACTGGAGGAAATCATGACCCCATCCCAAATAACTCCAAAGGCACCCAACCTTCCTCCCCAGGTGGGATGTATTTGGGCTAAAAGCCCTGGGAAGGGCAGGAGCATCAGCATCAAAGATTTCAAGGGGGCTCAGCATCTATTTAAAGGACTCAGAGTGAGGGGGTTCCTTCTGGAGCTGGGGATTTTGGCAAGGGGAGGTTGTCTCTGTGGAAGCTGTGGTGGAGCTGGTAAGGGTGAGTAGGAAAGAACCCAGAAATGGGGCTCTTCTCCCCAGGATTTTGTCCCTTGGGATTCTCTCCTCATTTCCTAGTTCTTCAGAGCTGTGAGGTTTGGGCTGCTTGGAGCTGCTTTAATGAAGATTTTTGGTGTTTGTGGAGTCTCTGCTGCTGCAGGGCTGGAGTGGGGATGGATTTGGGATCCTCTCCATCGCCAGGCCAGCTAAAAACCAGGTGGAAATACTGCTCTTCTCCTTAATATTAGAAAAACTCAGTCTCAGATGGAGACACCCACTGTGGGATTAATCCCTCAGTTGGATGGCTGGAGCTGGAAGCATCCTGTCACAGTCAGTGGGTCTGGGTGTCTCCGGGTTCAGGCAGACAGATCCAATCCCTTGTGGCAGGAAAAATCGATGTGGCTTCGTGCCCTCATTAATTCCTCGTCGGGGCCAGTGCTGGGCTTGCATTGAAGTATGAAATGAAGTGGGCAGGGAGGAGGGAGAACAAATATTAACGTTCTTAATGGCCTTTTGTTTTACCAGCAAAACCACTATTAATCACCCCGGCGAGGGGAGCAGAGTTTTCTCAGGGGTGGCTTATCCCTGCAAATGGTACTGGGAACCAGGAGGGGAGACCTCGGAACATCTGTGCTGGTGCTGGAGCAGGGAGTGACTCTGAGGTCTGGGGATGCCCTAAAAGGGCAGCCTTAAAAATGCACACTTTTGGCTTGGCTGGAGAGGTCAAGGTGCCTGCTGGAGGGGAAGATGCTCCAGTGGAGACTAAAAACTCCTGGATGATGCTTCCCGCAGAGCTGGCAGGTGGCACCAATGCTCTGTGCCTCAGTTTCCCTTTGCTCTCTGTGCTTGGGC